AGAGAGAGAGAGAGAGAGAGAGAGAGAGAGAGAGAGAGAGAGAGAGAATCATTGATGAAAACACGAAGAGGTTTTCACAGATGATTTTCTACAACAGACCACATCTACACAATCACACAACAGACTGAAAGGTGTTGGGAATACCAGAGTTTACTGTTCTTATGGTTCATTAACTATATGTAAAAAATCACCAATTTGATAGAACAAAAAACAAACTTATATACAGGCTTTCCTCCAGTGTGGTGTCTCCCATGTATATGTATAAGATCATAATTTATTATTGATACCCAAGCATAAATCAGGGAGACATACACTCACCAAAGTTGCCTTCCACAGTCATAATATCCTATGGAGAGACCCAATGTGGAGAGGATTCCCTGGAGGTGGTGCCATTCATCATATGCTTCTGTTTGGAGGCAACATTGTGCATAAAGTCCCAGAATACCACAGATCTTCTGCAATGAAATCCACAAAGACTCACAAAGAGGTCCGCCTAATTACGTGCACTGGGAAAGCAAATGGATGAAGGATGCTTATGGCTGAGCCTATGACTTGTAACTGAATGGAAAAGCCATTGAGTTGGTGCATCACACATAAAGTACAAACCTTTGCAAATGGACAGCAAACCACACTCAGGACTTATTAGAAGTGCCTGGTTTGCACTGGGGAAATGGTGCTTTTAATCATCTCTGTTTCCTGCCACAAATATCCACTTTAAAAAATATTAATATTCTGGTAAATCTACAGGGACTAGAAGTGATGGAGCACCATAGCTTCTGATGGTTCAAAATTATGGACCACCCAAAAGCCAGCAGAGAGATGAATGGTGGGTGTAAGTAGGTTGCAGCCTGTTACCAATGATCACAACATGAAAGAAGGAAGTGGTATAAATGATACCATCCAGGAGATGTATGATTGGAAAGGGAGATGGGCTGGTTTTGTCAGGATAGTGAAGAACAGTTCTGCACTGGTGTTCATGGGATATAACAAGTGCCAGAGGAAGGACTCCAGAATGTTGGGGAGATCCTACATGGAGAATTTTAGGGGAAATATGGAGAAGAATGGCACAGAACAGCTGGGTTATAGTCTGCACAGGCAAAGACTCTTGTCAGAAGATATGCCTCTCTATTCCTAGCCATGATGGCACCACTAACAACAATGACGATGTGTTTTTATAGCACTTTAAGGTTTGCAAAGCATTTTATAAATATTGCCTCATTTGAGCCTCACAACAACTGAGAGGTAAGTGATATTATTATCTCCATTTTACAGATGAGGAAACTGAGGCACTGAGAGGTTAAGTGACTTGCCCAGAGGGACAAGTAAGTGTCAAGGCTGGATTTGAACTTGGGTCTTCCTGATTCCAATGTCAACACTCTATCTACCATGCCACCTAGCAACAAAGTACTTGCAGCCCTTTTTCCTTTTCTTTTTTTTTTCCGCTCTTTTGCTGTTTCTTTAACAATCTAAAGTACAATTCCCACTCAAGAAGAGCTTATGTGTTTTTGATAACTGTTTATGAACTCTTTGGTTCCTTACATCTTTTCTGTATTCATTTGTGGTGTTCTGTGAAGTCTTTGTATCCTCTGCATTTTCTTTGAGGAGAAATAAAGGGTGTCCTTTATGTACATGCATTTATACCTTGAATGCTTATACAGGAGCAGGGGACACTTTTTACCTACATCTGTGGAAACCTAGACGCATCATATTTGGATGCTTTTCCTGGAATAAACATCAGGAGGGGATATAACAAACCCAAAGAGAAAATGACTTATCTAGGTCACTTCCCAGGATCAGACCTTTCCTGTGACCCTAAGATCTTGTGGAGGCCCGGGCACGTGAGGTACATGTATTATATCTCTCTGTTTTAGTGGTCCTCTAATAGAAAGTATGTCACCCTGATCCTTCTCAGAAAGATTCATTGGCTCTGTTGACTTTAGAAGAAATGTAAACTTTCTGGCACTTAAAGTCCTGAAGAAACTAACACTCATCTACCTTTCTAGTTTTTTTTTTTTTTGCTTTAAGCAATTGAGGTTAAGTGACTTGCCCAGGGTCACACAGCTAGTAAGTATCAAGTGTTTGGCCTCAGGCCGGATTTGAACTCAGGTCCTCCTGACTTCAGGGCCAGGGCTCTATCCACTGTGCCACCTAGCTGCCCCTACCTTTCCAGTTTTATTTCATGTTATGCTCTTTATACAATTTCCATTTCACATTAAGCTTGCTCCCTGAATACCAAATTCCATCTCTTTCCTCCATGCTGTTCCATAGCTGGAAAGAGTCCTGGATAGGGAGACGTGGCTTTTAGTCCCTTTTCTTTCCCACTCTCTCTTTTCCCCTCTGACTCATTGAATCTCTAGCTTTCTTCAAAGTATCACCCAAGGGTCACTTCCTCAGGGGCTCTCCTTTCCTGATCTCTGCCCCCATCCCCCTCCCCAGGTGCTAGTGTGAGCTCTCTCTCTCTCTCAATCTCCTTTCTCCTCTCTCTTTCCTTCTTTCTCAGTCTCTTTCTTTCTCTCTCAGTCTCTCTGTGGCTCTGACTTTCCCTCTTGTCTCTTTCAGTTTCTGTCTCCATTTATTTGCTATTGTATATGGTATAGAATACCTATGGAATGAAAACTCCTTGAGGGCAGGGACTTGCTGTCTCTCATTGTATCCTTAGTGCCTGGCACAGAGCTTGGCACATTAGAGGCACTTAATATATGTTTGTAGAATTGAATTAAATTAAGGATGTTGATAAGTTACTATCTAAATGTCGTACATTTTTTAGTGCCTGACATAGAGCCTTGCAGATGCAGGGATCTTAATAAATGCATGTTTCATTGTATTGCCTTGGAATCCACCCACCTCTCCCTTTATACCTTGTTGGACAGTCCAACCTTTGCACAACACATGGGTTTAATAAACTTTTGTTTGAAGCTGCATTAAGACCCCAGACTTTTTCAGAGGAAGAAATTCTTAGCGAATTGGAACCCCACAGGATGTTTCTAATTTACTAAAGCATCTGCACCAGGGGGTGGGCACCAAAGGAAAGAAGCTAGCGTTGAGTGGTGGACAGAGCCTTGGGCACTGAGTTGGGGACCTGGCTTTTAGTTTCAGCTTTCTCACTAAACCACTGTGTGACCTTGGGTAAGTCACTCTCTGTGCCTTGGTTTCCCCATCTGCCAAAAGAAGGGCTGGACTCTTGCATGGTATAGTGGAACTGGGGCTGAGGTCAGAGGAGCTGAATTCAGGTCCTGCTGCTGTCGGTCACTATTTGTGGGACCTTGGGCCAGTCAGGCTCTTCATTTGTCAAGTGAGGAGGTCAGACCCGACAGCTTCTGGTCTTCCTTCCAGCTCCACACCTCTGATTCAAAGACCACTGAGCTCTGTGTTCCCTTTTTGCTCTGCACTCACCAATGCTAGCTTTTGCTTTCTTCAGCTGGAGTCTGGCCGCTGAAGATGCCGAAGAAATCATTGGCTCTTTTCCCTTTGTGGGTCTTGTATGGGAAGTGGCCTCAAGTCCCTCAAACTCTAAGCAGCCAGGTTCTAGGCTGGCTATTAATCAACCGGGGAGTCTTCTGTTTGGAAGCTTTGGGTCCCAGCCAGCTTTCTGGAGCTCCTAGACTGAAGATAGAGCCTGCCCCCTCCCTCTCTCCATCTCCTGTACCTAGCTTTCAGGCCAGAAGAGGGCTCTGTGGTTCCCCCAGGGAAGAGGGTGGCATCGAGGCGGGGAATTCAAGCTTATTAAAAGGAGGAGATAAGAGCCCGAACTTCAGAGATAGGGACTGAAGTAGGAGCCCAGTGGCCGTAGTAACCCAGAGAAAGAGGCAGCCAGAGAGAGACACACGCACACAGAAACAGAGACAGAGGGAGATAGGGACAGATCACAGGAGGGGGAGAGAAACGAGGACGAAAGGGAGAAATAGATGGAGTGAGAGAGGGAAAAGAGGAGAAGCTTGCGTTTGGCCGGGGGACCTCACACTTCCCCACGAGCTCCGGCTGCCTACAGGATGGAGAGAGGAAAATTAGCACGGACGCTGCTGGCAAGAAGGCACGGACCTTAGGATTCTGCAGATGCCCTCGGTGGCCATCCACACTCAGCCAACCTTCACCGCAACTGAAAGAGGTGGAGAAGAAAAGCAGAAAAGGGAACTCACTCTGGACACCCTCTTCAGCACCACCCCCCACCTGGAGACAAGCCCTCCTTCCACCTTGGAGCAGGCCAGGCTTGGGTCCAGTCCTCCCGTCCCTTCCAAAGGTGGGGTTCTCTGGTGGACCTCACCAGAGGGTCGGAGGGTCCCGTCCATCTGCTCCTGAGGGGGATCGCGTTCCTCAGGCAGACAGGCGGGCCCCTCCGAAGCCACCCCAAGCTGGAGCCGATGGCCAGGTGCCCGATGGATTCCTCTTTCCTGGGTAAGAATGGGCTGTGCCCCAGGGGGAACGGAGCTGATGGATGGCCAGGCTGGCTGTGGGGGACGGCTGGCAGAAGAGCCACAACTAGGACCCCCTCCTCCTCATCCCAGCCTCCCAACCCTTCCAGCAGCTTTCTCTGGTCACTGATCCCCTCCACCCCCTTGTTTCTCAGGGCAACCTCCTGGCTTCTTCCTAGGTCCATGCTTGGTCCTCGGTGGAGACGCGGGGTGCTTGGAGAGGAAGGGCAGGGGCCCCTTCTGGAGGGCTCTGGGCTCTGGGATGGCCACAGCTGTCCTTCCCAGCTGCTGGCTCCTGTTTCTCTTCCTGGGGCTGCTGGCAGCCGGCTCCTGTGATGGCTCCGTTGAGTCGGAGAGGCACGGAAGTAGACGGGGTCCAGAGAAGCAATCTCAGTGGAATGACTTTCCCACGGAGCAAGGGGTGAGCAGCGGCCCTCTGCCAGCCTCTAATGACCTGGTAAGATCACTTGGGCTACCCCCTATCAGTCCAGCCAGAGGGAGGAAGCAGGTGACTTGCAGATCCTATTAAGACATCTCCCTCCTGAAGCATAATCGGGCTGCTGAGGCCATGAGTGGTGGAGGCAGATTGTGATAATGAGGTAAAAGTGGTTAGCCCAGGGGAGGCAGTGTGGGGCAGTGGAAGGAACAACTGGTTAGCCATCAGAGGATCTGGATTCAGGTCCTGCCCATGCTTCTGACTCCCTGGCCTCTGGGCCTGTTTCCTGGTCCATAAAACTAAAGTGCAGGACTTCCAGAAGCATCCCTGTACTCAGTGAGTCCAACCTCCTCATTTTACAGGTTAGCACACCGAGGCACAGAGAGAGGAAAAGACTTGCCTAGAATCATACAGCTAGGAAGTTTCCGAAGCAGGATTTGAATTCAGGTTTTGCTGACTCCAAGCCCAGTGCCCTATCCATTATGTCACACTGCCTCTTCTCTGTCGTCTTAAGTGGCCCTTTGGGAAGTTTATCAGAAAGAGGGGAAGCCAGGGAAAACCCTTTTCTTAATCTGTAGAATAGAAGGCTATTGAGAAATACAGTAAGTGTGGACGTGCCTCGTGGACATGGAGGCAGCTCTCTGTAGAAATTCGAGCCTATTTTGGGAAATGTCGATCCTTTGAATTAAGTCTTCAGGGGCCCTGCGTTTCCACTTGACCTCACTGGATCTAGTGATAAAGGTGGGGTCTCTACTTTTGGGCACAATGGAGGGACTGATATGGGAATCCAGGGAAGAACGAAGAGGGTCTGCAGGCTGGCAGAAAATGAGTTTGGCTCCCGGATGTGTCAGAAGTGCTTGTCCTCTCCCCTCCCTGCTTGGCCCAGAGAAAGGGCTTCTAAGGGGTCTAGATAAGGAGCCGAGATCAGCAGCCGCCTGAGTCGCTCCCCCCTTGGGGGAGCAGAGAGTAGTCCCCATACAAGAAGGCAAAACTCACAACTTTGGCGTCTAACGAGCATCTCACGGACGAGAATTTTAGGACCTGGAATTAAACACAAGAAAGAGACGCTTGCAGACCTCGGGGGTCCCTGCCTGAGAAGGGGATGAGTAGGTGGGGTGTCTCTGTGTGTGCATAGATGTGCATGTGTGTGTGTGTGTCCATGTGTGTAACCCTAAAGCAACATGCTGCCTGTGAAAGCTGTGTGCTCGTGCACACCCTTAAACACGTTTGCTGGCTCTAAGAGAAACATGAATGTCTTGTGAAAGGTGTACTTACTTCATAGTCATTGAGAGGCATAGGGAATAGAGTGCTGAGCCTGGGGTCAGGAAAACCTGGGATTTTCTGATATTGTCTGGCTGTGTGATTCTGGTCAAGCGGCTTCCCCTCTGAGTGGGTTGGACTAGATCAATGACCTCTGAGCTCCCTCCCAGCTCTGGACCTGTGATCCTAGGACCCCTCTGAACTACAGTTTCCTCATCTGGGAAGTGATGGGGTTGGAGGAGATGGTCTTTAAAGTCCCCTCCCCCTCCTACCTTCCCTATTACTTTCAAGGGCACCACCATCCTCCCAGTCCCTCAGGTTTACACCCTAGGAGTCAACCAAGACTCCTTCCTATCTCTCACCCCACTTCCCACCTCCAAGCTGGTGCCCAGGGCTGTCCACTTTGCCTCTGCAGCCCCTTCTCTCCTCTGACACTGCCACCCCCTTGGTGCCCTCATTCCAGGACTGTTGAAAGCTCTGCCTGCCTCAAGTCTCTCCCCACTCTAGTCCAGCCTCCATTCAACCACCAAGTGCAGGTCTGATCATAGCACCCTCTCGACTCCCCTCAGTAAACCCCGATTGCTCCCTGTGACCTCCAGGAGCAAATACAAAATGCTCAGTTTGGCATTCGGAGCCCTTCAGAACCTGGCCCCCTCCCACCTTTCCATCTTCCATCTTCCATCTTTCTCCAGACACCTGCCCTTCCATCCAGTGACACTGGCCTCCTGCCTGCTCCACGAACAAGGGCCTCCACCTCTCCGCTCCGGGCGTTTTCTCCGGTGTCCCCCTGCCTGGAATGCCCTCCCTCCTCTGCTCTGACTACAGACCTCCTTGGCTTTCTAAGTCCCAACTAAAATCCCTCCTTCTACTGGAAACCTCTTCCAGTCCCTCAATTCCAGTGCCTTCCCCTGCTGATGATTTCCATTTATCCCGCCTAGAGCTTGTTTGTCTATATTTGCTTGTTGCCTCCTTGTTAGATTGTAAACTCCTAGAGGGCAAGGACTGTCTTTTGCCTCTTGGTATCCCCAGTGCTTAACACAGTGCTTGGCACTCAGTAAGTGCTCGTCAATGTTTATTGACTAACTGACCTTCTAGTTCTAGACACAATCCTAGGACCTCTCAGAGTCTCGGTTTTTTCATCTGGAAAACAGAATCAATAATATCACTTTGCTCCCATTGCTGTTGTGAGGATAAGCTGAGGCAACGTTTGTAAAGCAATTTTAAAACTTAAATAATCACTAGGGTTGTTACTATAATATATGTTATATATATTATTATTACATTATCTATATTATTATTTTAAAAGGTGGACTCAGGACTCCGGAGCTTTTACGAAGCTCCCACGTTTGCATCAAACCATTGCGAGGTCAGTAGAGAAGAGCCCAGTAAACTGTCCAAGCTGAAGACAAGCCCCAGCCGGCCCTCACCTCGCACATGGCTTTTACGTTAATCCTAACACTTCTCTGGGGCTGTGAAAGTTTGCAAAGGCAGGTAGTCTGAGCATTAGGATCCTCGGTTTACAGGTGAGGAAACTGAGGCAGAGATAAAGAGTCTTGTTCGGGGTGGCCCAGGTGGCCGGCTCACTGCCTCCACCAGCTGCCTCTCCTACATACAGGAGTCCTGGCCTCCAGAGCCATCCCCTGACCTTTCTCCATGTCCAGCCCTCGGTGTTGGGTCCAGGTCCAGACTCCCTCGGGGGAAGGCAGCTCTGCTGTGTTACATGGCCATGATCATGAACTCCCCAGAAACTTTAAAAAGTCAGATGGGGGTTGGGGAAATCTGTGGATCCAGGGGAAACTAACTGTGGGGTAGAGGACTGGGAGAGTTCTTGTAGAGTCTGTGGCCACCTCCCCAGGGACTACAGAGGAAAAGTCGCTCACTCATCCAGGGACCTTCAGGCAGTAAGGAGCAGGGGCAGAATTAGAACCTGGTGCCTCTGACTAAAAGACTGCTGTTCTTTCTATCACTTTGAGGCAGTCGTGGGGGAGGAGGGGAGGGAGCGACATGTTAAAGTGGGATCCTCTGTAAAACGAATAGCGCACAGTAGGGTGCTCATTTGGTAAGAATGACAATCATGTCATTATAACGATCAGAGGCCGTGTTTCACAGTGGTTGGAGGCAGGGAGGCCTTGGTTCACAGCTTCCCACATCATCTCTGACACGTCCCAGCTGGGAGACCCTGGGCATGTCATTCCACTGGATTGTGCCAGAAGACTGGGTCACTGGAGTGCTGAGGTGAGCAGAGATCCCCACATTGACCGCGTCAGAGATGCCGCGGCGTTCACACAGAATTCCCTGTTTGAGGCAGCGCCGCCCAGCGCCAAGACCTTCCATGCGTACTGTCTCATTTGATCCTCCTCAGAGAAGGAAGGAAGGGGTCACTTCTCCAAGGTCACCCCCTGTCCCCTCATGCCAGAGACATCCCCGCCAGCCTGGCTCATTCGCTGCCACCCTGTGCACGCGTGGCACTCCATCTCTAGTCTCTGCGCCCAGGTTGTCTCCTGGAATGCCCCTCTCCTCCCCTTCGCCTCTCCCTCATCGTTCTGTGGTTCAGTTGTTTAGTCGTGTCTGACTCTTCCGTGGACCATAGCACACCCGTGCTGTCTGTGGGGTTTTCTCATTGGAGTGGTTTACCATTTCCTTCCCCAGTGGCTTAAGGCAAACGGTGAAGTGACTTGCCCAGGGTCACACAGCTAGTGGGTGTCTGAGGCCAGATTTGAACTCAGGTCTTCCTGACTCCAGGCCCAGAGCTCTTCCACTGAGCCACCCAGCTGCTTCCTCATCATAGATGACAGTTATTCCAGGATGTCCCAAAAAAATCTCAGTGCGAGTAAAAGACTTTTGGGACACCCTTTAAAATGCTTGAAGGTTTGCAAATCACTTTACACATATTAATAATGACAATAATGATGATGATGATAGCTAACATTTATCTAGTGCTTACTATGTGCCAGGAACTGTGTTGAGTGCTTTACAATCATTGTCTCATTCAATCATCACCGAAACCCTGGGAGGTAAGTGCTATTATTATGCCCATTTTATTTTATTTTATTTTATTTTTTTGGTGAGGCAAATTGGGATTAAGTGACATGCCCAGAATCACATAACTAGTAAGTGTCAAGTGTCTGGTCTGAGACTGGATTTGAACTCAGGTCCTCCTGACTCCAGGGCCAGTGCTCTATCCACTGTGCCACCTAGCTGCCCCTCATTATGCCCATTTTACAGAAGGGGAAACTGAACCTGAGAGAGGTCAAGGGACTTAGAAGGGCCTTGGGTGGGATTCAAACCCACTGCTTCTTGACTCTGGATACAGCGATCCAACCACACTCAGTATCCCTAGCTTCTTCCAAATCCTAACTCACTGGCAGCCTCCTGCAGGAAGTTCTCCCAGATTTCCCCAGAAGCCAGTGTCCTCCCTTCCCCCAACCTGGGATTTTTTGGGGGTTTGTACATGTTCTGTATTTACTTCTCTGTAGACATGTAGAGCCCCTTCCCTACCCCCAAGCAATTGAAAGCAGTCATCATGCTTTTTGTCTTCAAGTCCTAAGCTCCAAGCCCGCTGCCTGGTAAACAGTAGGTGCTTAGCAGTGAATGAATGAGTGAATGAATGAATGAGAGATCCCTCTCTCTCAGTCTTTCCAGTTGGTCATTGCTTAACTCTTCTCATCCCAGTGGCCTAAGACACCCCCCCCCCCCTCCCCCTCGGTCCTGCCTCTTTCTTGTTCAGAGCAGGGAGCCCCACATGGGCAGCTACGGCTTCGATAGGAGTGGCTTGTGAGAAGCAAGGACTGGCCTCTGGCCAATCAGCCATGGGGGCCTGTGCAGAGTGGGATTGGAGATGCTTTCAAGCTGACCCCTTAGCTTCCCTCCTCCTGCCCCTTCTCCTACCCTTGGGGCAGCTCAGCTGTTAGAGAATGTGTGCAAACCAAGCTCCAGAAGGAAAGCCCGGGGATTCCTGGGCTGTCCTGGCCGGAGCACTGCCTGGGAGTCAGAGCCCCTGATGCACCAGGCTCCGGATCTGTCAGTGAATGCGTTAGACTTGATGGAGACTGGCAGTGAGAAGAGCTCAAGATTTAGGGTCAGGATAACCTGAGCCATATCCTCAAAGGGCCTCAGCTTCTTCATCTGTAGAATGGGGAGAATAAGAGCTCCTGCCTTCCCAGGCACATTTTGAGGATTAAATGAGACAATATATGGAAAAGTCTTTGAGGATCTTAAAGAGTTAGAGAAACATGAGCTATTTGGGACTGAATCATGATATGATCACTTCTTAGGCTTGTGTCTATTTGTATTAAATCACATTATCTCATTTTTTTCCTTCAGCCCATGATTTCATTGGTATAAGAAGCTCCTTCTATGATGCAGATTAGCCAGTCCATGAGCATTTATTAACAGCCCCCCCCCAGAGTCTAAGGAGCTGCCTCAAGTCACTAAAAGGCTGAGCATCAAAGTCAATGTAGGTTAGAAACAGGACCCAGGATGCCTTAGCCCTCAGGCCAGACCTGGATTTGCCAGGCCATGCTGCCTCTCATGGTATTTAATATCTGCTTCTTCTACATCAATGTTTGGTAATGTTAGGGAAGATCCCCCTCCTCCCCAGATCTTAATCCGAGAGAAAAACAAAACAAAACACTCCCCACTCCCAAAGAGCTTACCTTCTCCTGGGGGGAGGGGCAGGAAATAACATGACATGCATACATCTAAGTAAATAGAAAATATGTACATTGTAAATGCAAAGTAACTTATGTGTGTGAGTGTGTGTGTGTGTGAGTGTGTATGAGTGTATGTGTGTGTGAGTGTGAGTGAAGGGGTAGTACTAACAACTGGGAACAACAGGACAGTGAAATTAATTCAACGATCATTTATTAGGCTCCTACTATTTTTCTGGCACCATATGAGATGGGAGGGATGCAAAGACAAGGGGAAACAGTCCCTGACTCCCGGGGGCTCCTATTCCAGCGACTTCTGTCCAGGGAGAGGCAGACATTGATATGAGAAGCCCCGAGTCAGTCACACGAGCGGCCATCCGGACCAGGACTGTGCCTCTGGTACTGACATTCAAGGCTCTTTTGGGGGTGAATTGAGTAGCTGTTAGTGTTGACTCTAAATATGAGCGACTGATCCCAGATGTCTCGTGTGGTGTAGTGGAAAGTTCACTAACTGAAGGAGTGTGGTGATAGACAGATAGACAGACAGATGGATAGATAGAAGACAGATAGATAGACAGATGGATAGATAGAAGATAGATGGATAGATAGAAGATAGACAGAGAGATAGAAGATAGATAGATGGATAGATAGAAGATAGATGGATAGATA